CCCGCCTCCCGCGCCGGGCCCGGCCCTCCCCTCAGCCGCCCTCCTCCCTCACACCCGCCCCGTCTCCCGCTCCTTCATCCTTCCCGTCTCCCCCTCTCTTCTTCTCTCTCACCCTGCCGCTCTCTTTCACCCTGCCGCTTTCCCTGCCCCCTCTCCTTCATCCTGCCTATGTCCTTCACCTTCCATCTCCTTCTCTCCCTCTCTCCCTCCCTCTCTCCTCCTCCTGCCCCTCTCCCTCTCTCTTCCCCTGTCCCGCTCTTTCTCCTTTTCCCTCTCCCACTCTCCGATCCTCTCCCCCTTGCCAGGACAGCCCTTGCAATCCTGACATACAGTGGGAGGACAGGGGGGTGTGCAGGGTATTTTGAAAAGAGGTAAAATATACTTGTATGTTATGGAAATATTAACCCCCTGCCCCGTTGCTTCAGCCTCTGGCGAGCAGCCCAGCAGGCGTAGAGGCTGCTATGGGGCAGGTTTTAGTCTGCACAGAGGAAATGGGAATAAAATTCCCGTCAGCAGCCTGTTTCTGGTCTTGGTCACCTTGCCACCTCTGAGGAATACATAGAAAACCATTTTTCTACCTGCTAATATCCGCATAGGAGTGGTTAATAAGCATGTTACGCAACTGTTAAAATGAAATAGTGCACAATCACACTCTGTAACATTAACAGACTAATCTCTGAACGGTTAAAGATGATTTTTAGATGGTTTTGATTTCCTAGACAAGATTTATATAGTCTGTCTGTGTGTCTGTCATCCTTGTCCCTTTTGGCCAGTTCCAGTGTAATCTGGAGAAAACCATTAAATCCCTCTCAATTTTGTAGAAATTGATGTCCCACTGAGGAAATAAACCTAAATTTGCTTCTTCTTTAAAGGAAAAGTAGGGTCTTAAACATTCTAGTTGGCAGCAAATAACTGGATAATCAATATGTGTGTATTAGCCATCCCCTATGCATACACGGAGCTTCAGAGTGCTGGATGGGATTTTCATAGCGCCTGTGAGAAAGAAATTGTAGTTGCTGCAATTCAGGTTATTTAAAGGCTGAAGCATCCAAAACCACAGGAAATCATTCTTCATTAGTTCTGTTGCTCACAAGACAGCTATTAACAAAGGAATACTGAGGAGGAAAAAAAAAAAAAAAAGAATTTATCCGTATAAAAAAGGGTAAACAAGGTGAAACAGGCTTAACCGGCTTAACATGGATACTGGCAGAGTCATGGAAATGCTGGCCTGGGTACAGACATTAAAATACAGTAGTACAATGCTAGTCCATACACTTTCCTGAAGAAGAATTGACCAAGCACACTTGATTTTTTTTTAAGTTTACTTGATATAGGTAATCCAGAAAGCCTTATTTCCCAAGCCTTTATTTGTGTTAAAGCAGTATGCCATTCTCATAAACATTATGCAGAATTTTGTGAAGTTTGTAATAAGTGGATTAAAAACTGATTAAACTGACAGCTCTAAAGAATACTAAACGTAGGTTATATTAGTGTTGCAGGTATCTTTTTAGAGAGGTTCTTTGAGATTTGATTCTTGGCCTGATACTATAAAAAATGACTTGGGCAAAAATATATACCTACTGATTTACTTTTGTCAGTAAGGACTGGTCACTTACATAAACTGTTTTTAATTGCTTTGTAAGATATTCTCCTTTGTAAAAATATTCTTCCTAAAACATTTGAATTGAAGGCCAAATAGTTATAATAAAGCCTGGCAGACACTCTTGAAAGCAGAGTGACAGTGGCTGGCATGAACAACGCTCAAAAGGAGCTGGACCTAATGGGACATAAGCAGCTGAACATGAGCTCCCAGAACAAAGCTTTTGTGAACTAACCCTTTGAGGCAAAATCACATGAACATGAAACACGGTTAAAAGGTGGTATTACCCATGCTTATAGTATTAATGGAACTATTATTAAAATACCACATCTAGTTTTGGTATTTACACTTCAAAGGCATGTTCAAAGTTGAAAAAGATCCAGAAAAAAAGATGTAGTAAAGGGCTAAAAGATGCCTATTAACATGAGGTATTTTTAAAGCACAGTCCAACAGAGGTAGGGAAGTACCTTTGTAGTAAATATACCTGTACTTATATGAGCTAGCATGTTCAAGGAGTAAATGAAGTACTGGATTTCAGAAAATGACATTTTAAGATGTGAAGACATATTTGGGAATACCAAAAAAAAAGAAAAGACAGGAAATAAGATTTATGTTAATATAATTGGCTATGAGATTAATTTCCATTTGAATCTATTTTGAAACAATGCAAAATTGACAGTAAAGAGAAAAAAGAGATCAGTTTCAAAAATGCTATGTGGTGTAGCTCAAGCACACACAACTATCCTTCTGATGCAGAATATGTTGGCGGGGTTCTGTGCAGTCTGTTCTAGAGGAGATGGGCTACAAAGCTATACTTGGTCTTTACAGCTCCAGAAGAAGGCCATGAAGGCTGCCTACATAGCAGCAAAAGAAGGAATCTCAAGGATGTTCCTAGAAAGATTGGTTTTTGTGGATCCTAACAGGTAATGTGTGAAGAGCTCTTGGTGGATGTGAACAGAGACATGCCTCACTATATGGTTTTGCCGTATCTGACCATCTAGTTTTGCAACCAATGTTGTTGTGATCTCCCAGGGAGCTAAGCAGTGACTTCAGGGAATTCCATATTCCCGTAAGGAAAATAATGGCAGTGCAAAGTGCTATGTCACTCATTCGAAGATCATCAAAGGAACAAGAGTTCCACCTTCAGGTTTGGGAAAAAACTACCTCTGATGGCAAAAGATATCTCATATTTTTCTTTTTTTAACGTGAAGGTGGAGCTGGACTTGCAGTTACAGACAGTTTCAGACTTGTATGACATGTCTGTGATCTATCTACAATGGTCTCATGACTTAACAGTTGTGTGTTTTTCTGTAAAGTTATCAGAGAAACTGTATCACCAATAAGAAATGTGGAAGAGAATCATGAAGACTCCTAGCAGGGTGGAAAACTTGTATCTCAAGTACATCCAACTAAGGAAGAGCTTCAGCACTTCCTTTGTCTACTCTAGACCATTCATAGCTTTTAGACATGGATTTAAGATGAGGATCCAAATGTAAGTTCACTTAACATGGTATCTTCACTTTATTTTACCCCTCAACCCTATTCTCAGCAATCTTCTCTTTACATACAGTCTGGCAGATAGCTCCTTCTAGGGACAGCGTGTCAGTGAGTGCCATTCAATAAACATAGCACCTCCCCTATACTTAGATTATGTTCTGGAAGATAGATTTTTTTCCAGGAGAGCCTTTTGAAATTCTGTTGCCTTTTTTCTTTTTTTCCGCTGCTTTATTATTACAGATCTGACTGATTTCACTATCAAAAGAGTTAGGTGGCAAGAGCTGGCTGTAACGCTTGTGCTGTGCTGACAAAACCAGCCATTTCTGTGCTGCAGTGAGCGCTGCTTCTTCTCACCATCTTTCAAGAGCACAGCATGATTCAAAATAAGATCTCATTCTAATGCACATTCTTGGAAAAAAATGAAACTCCGTAATTCTTGAGTGAGGGGTGTTTTGTAAATATGTGGCATCATTTGCGGATACTGTTTTCCTGAGCTAAGCAAAATACTGCAGGTTTGGGATGAGGAGCTGTTAATTGCTAGTAACAAAACCTGTCTGGAAGTTGTTTAGGGTTGTTAGGATTCCCATGCAATGCCTTTTGGTGTAATTTACTTGAAAATGCAGCTGTGTATCAGATACTCTCAGTTTCATTTATAATGTTGTTTATAGTGTTTTACTATATAGAAAGAGTTGACAGTCGTAATTGTTTTAGTGGCTGTCTTCACACACGTCCCTGTCTGGTTATAGGTGTCACTTGCGCTGCTGTCAGCTTAAACTCAATATATACAAATTACTCCAACTGACGAAAGAGTCGACTGAAATGAATTGGTCTAATTTTTGTTTCTTTATAGGCTTTACAAATTTTGTATTTAAGTGCATTCAAGTTGTCAGGAAATTTTTCATTAAATTTATCAGGGTAAGGATTTCACTCTTTGTCTCTACTTCAGCATCTACTGACACAAGAAAACACAAAGCTATAGTCAAGGGAAAAAAATAGGAGTTGGTGGTCATCTGAACAAGCCTGCAGTTATGCAGTTCATCCACGATAGCTACCAGTAAACACTCCTACTGTAAAACCTTGAAAGGGGGATTCATAGTGTCATTTATCTGCAAACAAGGCGTGTAATATTGTGAGCTTCCATTTGCAGTCAGACAATAGTAGAATGTTTTTCTAAACCTTATTTATTTATTTATTTATTTATTTATTTATTTATTGCTCAGTTAGGAAAGGAGTTCTGGTGCTGCTTTTTCCATAACCTACACACATCATGAGCTACTGTCTGTTCAGTAAAATCTTCAAGGAATTTCAGGAACTAGTTAAAGTTTAGAACACCCACATTCAATTTGGATGCTTTTTTATTGACTTGGTCTTACTACTCTGCTTATCAGAGCTCTAGAGACCTCCTCTCTGCCTCCTTGTGAGATAGTCCTTGGAAGGACAACAGCCTTGCTCAGGTCTGCCAGGAATGTTACTTGGACCTGGAGGTGAGGTGAAGAGACGTGAAGATCTTTAGTCTGGCTGTTTTGGATTATGGAATATGTATTGGAAAATATTTCTGAGGAGATTAAGTGAACTGCTTTTGATTTAGAATTCATGTCAGACTCCAAGGCATGTATTGAGTTAAACAGAAATTTACTTGTCTCTCTATTGACCTGTTGATGACTCCACTGGTTTGGACGAAGGCCTTGTAAAACATCTAGGCTTGTCTTGTCTCCAACAGTGGCCACAGTGAGGGAAGAGCAAGAGTAGGGCAAGCATTCGTGGTATTTCTTGCTTATCATTCTCCCAGGATTTAAGTTTTTTAATATTAGGGAATATCCTGAGCCAGGTGTGACCCTAGTAACCCTGCCAGTAACCCTAGTAGATTCCTCTCTCTCAGATTTTCAGCCAGTCTCCCCTAGAACCTAAGTGAATTTCTTGCAGCCATAAAATCCTTTGGCAAGGATTTTCACAGATCTGCTGCTCTCTGCGTGAAGAGCCTGGCTCCTACAGGCTTCATTTGATGCCACTTTGTTGTTGAAGAGT